CTAACACCATTTATTAAATAGGAAATCCTTTCTCCGTTGTTTGTTATTGTCAGATTTGTCAAAGATTAGATGGTTGAGCAACCCCAAGACACGTAATTGTCAGATTCTCTAAGGTGGAAATGAAGGAAAAAATGTTAAGGGAAGCTGGAGAGAAAGATTGGGTCACCCACAAAGGGAAGTCCTTAGACTAGGAGTGGCTCTCTCTGCAGAAACCCTACAAGCCAGAAGAGAGTGGGGGCCAATGTTCAACATTCTTAAAAAATAATTCAACCCAGAATTTCATATCCAGCCAAACTAAGCTTCATATGTGAAGGTGAAATAAAATCTTTTACAGACAAGCAAATGCTTGATTTTGTCACCACCAGGCCTGCCTTACAAGAGCTCCTGAAGGAAGCACTAAATATGAAAAGGAAAAACCGGTACCAGCCACTGCCAAAACAAACCAAATGTAAAGGCCATTGACACTATGAAGAAATGGCATCAACTAATGGGCAAAATAACCAGCTAGCATCATAATGACAGGATCAAATTCACACATAACAATATTAACCTTAGATGTAAATGGGCTAAATGCCCCCAATTAAAAGGCACAGACTGGCAAATTGGATAAAGAGTCAAGACCCATCAGTGTGCTATATTCAGGAGACCCATCTCACATGCAAAGACACACATATACTCAAAATAAAAGGATGGAGGAAGATTTACCAAGCAAGTGGAAAGCAAAAAAAAAAAAAAAAAAAAAAAAAATGCAGGGGTTATAATCCTAGTCTCTGATAAAATAGATTTCAAACCAACAAAGATCAAAAAAGACAAAGACGGGCATTACACAATGGTAAAGGTATCAATGCAATAAGCAGAGCTAACTATCCTAAATATATATGCACCCAATACAGGAGCATTCCAATTCATAAAGCAAGTTCTTAGAGACCTACAAAGAGACTTAGACTCCCACACAATAATAGTGGGAGACTTTAACACCCCACTGTCAATATTAGACAGATCAATGAGATAGAAAATTAACAAGGATATTCAGGACTTGAACTTAGCTCTGGACCAAATGGACCTAATAGACATTTACAGAAATCTCCAACCCAAATCAACAAAATATACATTCTTCTCAGCACCACATAATGCTTATTCTAAAATCAACCACATAATTGGAAGTAAAACACTCCTCAGCAAATGCAAAAGAACGAAAATCATAACAAACAGTCTCTCAGACAACAGGGCAATCAAATTAGAACTCAGGATCAAGAAACTCACTAAAAACTGCACAGCTACATGGGAACTGAACAATCTGTGCCTGAATGACCACTGGGTAAATAATGAAATTAAGACAGAAGTAAATTATTTGAAACCAATGAGAACAAAGACACAATATACCAGAATCTCTGGGTCACAGCTAAAGCAGTGTTTAGAGGTAAATTTATAGCACTAAATTCCCACAGGATAAAGCAGGAAAGATGTAAAATTGACACCCTGCAAGAGCAAACAAATTCAAAAGCTAGCAAAAAACAAGAAATAACTAAGATCACGGCAGAATTGAAGGAGATAGAGACATCAAAAAACCCTTCAAAAATTCAATGAATCCAGAAGCTGGTTTTTTGAAAAGATAAACAAAATAGATAGAATGCTAGGCAGACTAATAAAGAAGAAAAGGGAGAAGAATCAAATAGACACAGTAAAATATGATAGAGGGGATATCACCACTGATCTCACAGAAGTACAGACTACCATCAGAGAATACTATAAACACCTCTATGCAAATAAACTAGAAAATCTATTTTATCCCTTTCTATAGGTTGTTTGCTTACCCAGTTGATAGTTTCTTTTGCTGTGCAAAAGCTCTTTAGTTTAATTAGGTTCCTCTTGTCAATTTTTGTTTTGGTTGCAATTGCCTTGGAGGATTTAGTCAGAAACTATTTCCCACAGCCAATGTTCAGAATGGGGTTTTGTAGGCTTCCTTCTAGGCTTCTTAGTTTGAGTTTTTTTACTTAATCAAATTCTTTATTTAAAAAATTCACTCACTCTAAAAAGGCCTTCTCCTGCAGCAGCATCCCTCTTTTAATAGGTTTTGGTTTTCTGGTGTGAGGTAATATAGACATTTTCCCCCCTCTTCCATATACAGATGATGCATTTCCAGTGTTTTCTTATATATGCAGAATGGGGAAGGAATGCTAACTTGGAATGAGGGGCTCCTACCATATGCCCCAAGCATAAAACTAATTAATATTTGGCCCATGTTCTTCTAACTTTCTAGGAAATATTAGCCTCACTGCTCCCATGTCTTCAAAACAACATATAACCAAACTCCCAAAACAAGACCAATTAGATTAACAAACTTTTATTATTTCATCCCCAACCCCCATCCTAACTTCTACAAACACCACAATTCTTTGATGGGAACCCCTAATGATTTATTGACTGAAATCCAGTCAAGAAATATAGTGTCAGAGAGTTATATAATTGTTAGAAAACTTTTAAAATGAAATTTTATGTTTTAGAACAATGAGGTTTACCAAAAAATTGACCTGATTGTTCAGAGAGTTTTTAATCCCCTCTCTTTTCCCTATTGTTAACATCTGGCATTAGTGTAGTACATTTGTTACAATGAATGAATCAATTTTGATACATTATTATTAGCAGTTCATATTTTACATAAGGATGAGTCTTTCTGTTCCAGAGTTGTATTTTTTCCACAAAAGCATAGTACTATGTAACATAATATTATGTAACATTAATTACTGTGTCATATAGAATAGTTTCACTACTCTAAACATCCTCTGTGCTCTGTCTATCCATCTATCCCTCCCCTGACCCCTTGCAACACTTATCTTTTTCCTGTCTCCACAGTTTTGTTTTTTCCAAGATGTTATGCAGCTGGAATCACACAGTATGTAGCCTTTTCAGATTAGCTTCTTTCACTTCACAGTATGCATTTAAGTTTCCTCCATGTCTTCCAATGGCTTGATAAATCATTTATTTTTTATCACTAAATAATATTCCACTGTATGAATGTGCCACACTTTATCCTTTTAACTTCTGAAGGACATTCTGATTAACTCTATGTTTTGGAATGTATAAAAAATCTACTATGAACATAAGTTTCCAAATCAGCAGAGTTAATACCGAGAAACCCAATTGCCAGATCATATGGTAAGATTATGGTCAATATTGTAAGAAACTGTCAAACTGTATTGCAAAGTGGCTGTACAATAGAGTGTTTTTTTGTGTGTAATGGTGATAGAAATGAAAGAAATTGTAAAAACAATACAAAAGTCAATTACCTTTTCAAAGAATAGCTGAAATAATGACTAGCTATATATAAGGTTTTATTGCATTCATCATTTTACTTGATTTTAAAATCTTACAAGAAAAAAATGTAAGTATTAAATCAAATTTTATAAAAAGGAAAGTTGGTCCTCAGAAGCATTGAATGATTGGCAGAAATTCCCATGGTGTTTATGTGGAGCTGAAACTGATGACCAGTTCTTATGGGCTAGCCCCCTGCTTCTCTCTGACTTGTGGGTTTTGTACCTCAACATCTTTTTGGTTGGAAATGCTCCCTCATACTATCTGGCACATAGTGTTCTCCAAGACAGTCTGACAAGATTGAGGAGATGTCGAGCCTCCAGCTGAAGAGCCTCGGAAAAGCTGTTCCTGGATTTCAACTGAAAACCCTGCCCAGTCGGCAAGACCAGGTCTATTTTCTTGATTAAGTGCTCAGCCCAATGCCTAGCTGAGCTGTTCTATTTGGCTAAATATTTTGTCAAATACCCAGCAGCTTTTTTCAGTACAAAAGAAGGTGAGACGTTTCCTTCACCCACCATCTCCAGTGCCTGCAGAACATGCCTGAACCCAGCTTGGATTTTGTTAAACCAATGACAGTACAAAGCCTGGCACAGCAGCTGGTAGAGGTGGCCTGAGGTGTTTGGGGTGTGGTCCTGGTTTTACTACTGTGTCTACAGTTTAGGCCAAACATTTTCTCTCCAGTTCTTAGCCACTTAAATGAAATCATACTACATGTATAGAACACCCTTGACATAGCCAACTCCATCTTAGAAAAAGACTCTATTTTATATTTCATAGAGCACTTTTCCAACAAGGATAAGATGTGTTGTCTACCAAACAAATTAAAAAAGAAAGACTATCCAACCAGATAAGGACTCAAACAAGCACACTCTTCCATGATCAGTTCTCAGGGGAGGACTCTGTAACTGTCAGAGAGCAGGTCTTTAGCAGCTCAAAGTAGGATCAGTTCTCACCAGAGGACTCATTATGTATGATGTGCAATATTGACTGACTTGTGGAGTGGCTTGAGTCTGTGCCCGCGGCTCTGACTACCAAGTGAATGAGAAGTATTAAGGGGAGTTGCCCTCTTGGGAACTCCATGTAGCTCATGCTGGCTTTTGTGATTGAAATAGCATCAAGAAAATCCTGACATTGAGAAAGACACGAGCATTTGTGGTCCTGGTTATTTCTAACCTTGCACCGCTCATGACACTAAGTCATTTACAAGGGGTTTCCAGTTCTAATTTTCAGTTGAAGAGCTGGGTATTTCCTTCCCGCTTTGCAATGTTATCAAATGCAAAAGCCAGTGCTACAGAGAAGGAAAAATATGCGGTCCACTACTTTTTTAAAAGAGAAAAGTTGATAGAAACAGCTCCAACAACACTAACATCTACACAGGGATCCCCAGAGTCTAAAATTGCTAGTGAATTAAAGAAGCTGAAAAGTGATTACAGAAACTGCTAGTTAATAGGACTTTTTTTCTCAAGTACCTTTTGCTGTGTCTTCCAATGTAACAGTTAGTTGCCATATTAAAAAAATAACATCACAGACTCCCTCCCTCATAAAGGTTTAGTCTTGGCATTTCTACAAAACACAAGATTCATTTTTTTTAGTTCCAAATGTAGATAAAGGAGGAGTGTTTTCAGTTGTTACTCAAAGAAGAGATATTTGGATTTTCTAAATCTTGGTGTAAGTATGTAGATTTTTCTTTTACAGTTTTATGACAGTTTAGTCTCTTTCATATGTCTTTCGAACCCTGACATCGAACCTTATCTTTGATAAGCCAACTGATGGATTGTTTAAACAATATAGTCAAAATCACCAGTTCTTATGGAGCCATTGAAGATGGGCAGAATATGTCATGTTAACTCAACATTTGGGGGCATTCATATACATGAACTGCAATCGGAGAACTGATATGAGAGAAGACTTGGAATCGGTAGAAACAAAAGAATAAACACGAGCAGTGTTTCTAGAACTCTGGCATTATTTGTGTGTGACTGTTACAGCATCTTCACATTTTGGATGGAAGTACTGTTGATACACCATTTAGCACAGCTGGTATTGGCAGTTCCTGTCAGCATTATCCATGGTATCCTTGATGCAAGCCCATATATGCTTAAACAGGATGAGGAGGTTTTAGACGATCAGAATTCTTTCCTCATCACACCACAGGTCCCTTAACCTCTTGCCACGACTCTCTTCAAGGCACCCATCACATCCCTGTTCCTCAGACTGTAGATGAGAGGGTTTAATAAGGGGGTGAGGATGGTGTAAAAGGCAGAGAAGACCTTATCTTTGATTGGGGTGTGGTAGGATTGGGGAAGCATATACGTATACAAGGCAGCCCCATAGAATAATGTCACCACAGTCATGTGTGAGGAGCAGGTGGCAAAGGCCTTCTTCCTCCCTTCAGCCGATGTCATCTGGTGCACTGTGATGAGAATCCTGGTGTAGGATGCAGTCACCACTGAGAAGGGGATCAGCAGCATTGCAACACAGCACACGTACATCACTGTCTCATAGGCGGTTTTGTCCCCATAGGCCAGCCTCAGCATGGTGGGTGCCTCACAGAAAAAGTGATTGATTTGGTGAGAGGCACAGAACGGGAGACTCATGGTGATGGGGGTGAGGAGAAAAGTGTCCAAAGCCCTGCCGAACCAAGAGCTGGCCAGGATCACGCAGCAGACCCGCTGGCTGATGAGGACAGGATAGCGCAGTGGGTTGCAGATGGCCACGTAGCGGTCATAGGCCATGAGCCCCAGCAGGAAGAATTCAGCCCCCATAAAGCCCATGTAGAGAAAGCACTGAGCAGTGCAGGCGATGAAAGAGATGGTCCCCTGGCCCACGAGGTAATCCACCAGCATCTTGGGCACAATGGTGGAGATGTATAATGTGTCAATGAGGGAGAGGTGGCTGAGCAGGAAGTACATGGGGGTGTGGAGATGAGGGTCTATGTTAATCAGGAAGACCATGACCCCATTAGCTATCACGGCCATGAAGAAGATGGCACAAATGACACTGAAAAAGAATCCTGAGCCTTTATCGTGAGTGAAGAGCCCCATGAGGGTAAAACCACTGGACAAGGTTTCATTGTTTTCATTCATGGTAGTGAGTTTGACCTGGAGGCATAAGAAGAGAAGCAGGGTCAATGAAAATGACAAAAGATAAAATAAATCACTTAAATATGTCTGTGTAAACATTATTAGATGAAAATTTTTTATGTAGCTAATATAAAACTTTTTTTTTTTTTTTGGTGTGGTAGATTTGTAGCTTCTTTTTTCTTGGCTATTTCTTTTTGATGAAGAATAATTTCTACATTAGGATCCCATGGGATGAAGATGAATGAATGTTTGCCCATTGATATTTGGCTTAAGGGAGTTTCATTATGATTGAAGAAAATCTGGGCCCTAGAAAGGATCCTTCATTTGGAGTTGGCTCCATTTATTTAAAATGTGGATACAACTGCAAGACAATTGATCCAATCTATTCAAACAACCCAAGAAAATAATTCAATAGGCTATTGGATCAAATTGGGAATTTCTGTGATAATTTTAAAACCTATTAGTCTCATCCAGAAATAACCATAAATTGTAGACATAGCTGAAAACTAAGTTGAACTGTAATAAATATGATTACATTATCTACCTGATCATTGGCCATTCTTATGTGTTCCTTCATCATTTGTCAATTTCTCATTCATTTGCACACCAAATCTTTATGGAGAGAGTCCTGTGCAGTGTTCTATGCTCTGGGGATACTGTAGTAAATGAAAAGAATATGAATCATGTGACTTACATTCTAGTTATGAAATAGGCACAGTAAATCACATGTGGGAACCATGGTTCCAGGTAATGCAAGTAAGTGCTTTGCGGAAAACTTTAACACAGACAATGAAAGATGAAAGAAAATTCATGTGAAGATTTAGGGCTAGGGTGTTCCTACAAAATAAACAGCAAATGTGATGTCCCTAAAGCAAAAAGGAGTTTGGGTCAGTCAGGAAACAAAAGTCAGTTCAGGAAGAGAATTGCCAGTGATGAAGACAGTGAGATATTAGGGATCAGTTCTTCAAGGTACGCAGGCCGGGGTAAAGAGGACAGAATTATTTTCTAAGTATTATCAGTAGAATTGAGTTGCAGTTTGTAACATATAACAGTTTAACATGTTCATTATGATCTTTTTGTTGTTTTCTTTTTGTCTCTTTGGTACATTCAAGCCATTTTTTGTTTGTTTGTTTTTGCTTAGTGTTGTACTTTTGTGGGTCTTGAAGGCGTCACAAGAGGGGAAACTCATCTGGTTTAGACTGGGATAGACTTTGTGCTTTCTGTCCTAATATCCCCCTCATTTCACTCAAAAGCTTCCTGATCTGGTCGGTCAGTTGTAAGCCTTGGAGATGGTGACTGAGTGAAATGCATAAAAGATCTTGTAGGCCAGAGGCAGGACACCATACACAATCTGAGAGAGCTGTGGGTGGTGCAGTCACATCTTGAATATACAATGAATATAAGAACATCTTTGAAAAGTTTCCTCATCATTTTAACACTCTTTAAAATCTGACTTGGTTTTTGAATTCTTGAGCACTTCTGTGTGCACTCAGGTGTTATACGAGACAGAGGCAGATGACGCAACCGTAAGTGCACAGAGGTGGCAGCCAGTTTCTAGGACACCGTCGTGGAGTAGGGAGTTGCTCGATTCTGAAATACTTGCACTGAGAATGCTTGTTTGGGGTCCTGGCTTCATTATTTGCAATGTGCCCTAACGCATGTTACTTAAAATCTTAGAGCCCGTTTCCTGGTCTATAATTAGGATATCACACGAAACTTAAGGGATGTTGTGATGATCAAACATCATGTAACATATGCAAAGGAGCACGGCTGAGTAAATTCAAATGCTAATCTACGATAAGCTGTTGTGCTTGTGAGATGATGCTGATACTGAGGACACAATTTCTTGCTGAAGGCAATATTGCATTTCGTAGCTACTGTGTGTATACCATAGGCACAAACAATAGGAGACACACTATAAAAAACACGTGTTGCCTGTGAACACTAGGGGACATACTCCGAAAAGCACATGTCACCTGTGAACACTAGGGGACACACTCTGAAAAGCACATGTCACCTGTGAACACTAGGGACACACTTTAAAAAGCACGTGTCGCCTGTGAACACTAGAGGACATACTCCGAAAAGCACATGTCGCCTGTGAACACTAGGGACACACTTTAAAAAGCACGTGTCGCCTGTGAACACTAGGGACACACTCTGAAAAGCACGTGTCACCTGTTGAACACTAGGGGACATACTCCGAAAAGCACATGTCACCTGTGAACACTAGGGACACACTCTGAAAAGCACATGTCACCTGTGAACACTAGGGACACACTCTGAAAAGCACGTGTTGCCTGTGAACACTAGGCAGGGTTCCAGGCTTGTGCACTGTCTTCTGAATTACTTAAAATAATAAAATCTCAGAACATTCTTCCTGATCATGCAAATAATTGCCATTAGCAGAATCTTTTAGCAAGAGATATGGACTTTTAAAAGACTAGTTTCTGGGAAAACTCCTTCCAGGAAGAAGACTGTCGTTTCCCAAGTTCACTCTCAGCTTAAACAGTGAGGAACAATATGTTAGGTAAGAGCATTACATGAATAACTAGGGCCTAAAAAATAATTTGCAAGTGTCTACACATTCTCCAGGGAGGCCTGTTTCAACTTCTGAGTACATGCTCACAAAACCACAGAAACGACTCAACTTTTTATCTACAATGAAAATTAAAAATCTTGGGTAACAGGAAAAGATGAACCCGGGTGACTCCTCAGTAGAGAAAAGCGTCTTCAGTTTTGGCCAGCACATGTACAGGGTCTCTCAGGGTGTGAACCACTCAGAGAAAGGATTGACTGTGCATCTCTGTGCCAGATTTTCTCTGCAGCAGGGTCTGTTTCTCTGCTTTCCTCATTCTTACCCTCCCCTAGCCAAGAAGTTGTGAAGAGCAAGGGTAGAGTTTTGCAAGTAGACCAACAAAGGAGGTTCTTGAAGGAGTGTTCTCAGCACAGTGAACAGGAAACTTCATTTAGGAAAGTGAGAAATACACAGACAGAAGGAAATATGCAAGCTAACAAGAAATTGAAACTTTTCCTTTCTAAGTTTTTCCTTCTCTTTCAACAAACCTTCAAACATAACTGCACAGTTTTGTTTACCAGTTTAGAAGAGGCTGAGTGGATTAGGTGGTGAGGGGAAAAGGGGTTGAAGATTTATTCTGCCCACTATCCATCCAAAATGCAGATCCTCCATCTAGTGGGTAGAATATCATCTAATGAGCTCCTTGTGACGACCTGATGAATTAGAAGGAGCTTCCTGCAATGTCAATGGGAGCAGAAACAGACGATAACATTAGGGAACACTTCAGGAGAGGGTGAACACACTCAGGCGAGTACAGTGCTTTACCCATAATGATAACACTAGGAAAGACTTCAGGAGAGGATGAACACACTCAGGCGAGTACAGTGCTTTACCCATGATGACAACACTAGGAAACACTTCAGGAGAGGGTGAACACACTCAGGCGAGTGCAGTGCTTTACCCATAACGATAACACTAGGAAACACTTCAGGAGAGGATGAACACACTCAGGCTAGTGCAGTGCTTTACCCATGACAATTAAAAACAGTTCAAGGATGAGAAGTTACAAGAAAGGCTGCAAATAAGAGCACTGAAGACATAAAATTGTATTAGGGTTGTGGAGGATAAAACTTGAGTAGCTCTCCGGGGATGCAGAAAGGCAGATATTAAATTATAAGAAAGATAGACATGGGCTGGGCACAGCGGCTCACACCTGTAATCCCAGCACTTTGGGAGGCTGAAGCGGGTGGGTCACCTGAGGTCAGGAGTTCAAAACCAGCCTGGCCAACATGGTGAAACCCTGTCTCTACAAAAATTAGCCAGGCATGATGGTGGGTGCCTGTAATCCCAGCTACTCGGGAGGCTGAGGTGGGAGAATCGCTTGTACCAGGGAGGCAGAGGTTGCAGTGAGCTGAGATCGCGCCATTGCACTCCAACTTGTGCAACAAAGCAAGACTCCATCAAGAAAGAGAGAGAGAGAGAGAGAGAAAAAAAGAAAGAGAAAGAAAGAAAGAAAGAAAGAAAGAAAGAAAGAAAGAAAGAAAGAAAGAAAGAAAGAAAGAAAGAGAAAGAAAGAAAGACAGAAAGACAGACAGGCATGGAGTATTGGAACTACAAAAGCAAAATATAAATAATCAATGTTTTAAAAAGAGTGATTTCACAAATAGGAGAGAATTACTAATAAAAATTGAAAAGGAAACTTAGGAAAGGAACAAACAGACTCTGTATATGGATGTTTCATTTCATTAATACATACACTTGTGTGTGTCTGGGAAAGTGATTTGAAGTAAAAGCATCTGGCAGCATCTAATAAAAACACAGTACCATGCAAACAAAACACAAGAAAAGGAAAACACAGTCACCTACACAGGCTAAAATTCACACTGACCACAGGTGTCTTCCTGATTAATTCCAAATAAAAGTGAAAAAACATCTAAACTGAAGATACACAACGTTGCAGTAAAAGGAGAGCTCTGGAGCCAGAATTTCCTTGAGTTTGATCCTTTCACCACCACCAAATCCTGTGACCACAGGCACTTAAATTATTTTTGTATCCGTTTCCCCCATTTGCTCTGTAATAATACAAAGGGCACAAGTTTTAAAGATTACATCATTCACACACCTCAGTTTCTTAGACTAGTGTCTAGAATGTGCTGTCGGTTCAGTAAAACTTATTATCAATATCATTAGATACATTTTAGTTGACAGTAATGTGTAGCTCAAACAGGAAGACATTCTGAGATAAATTGGGGGAATAAACACTAAGATACAGCTGAATATTTGTGTAGATGAAACAAAATTAAGAAAAAGGAAGAAACTGTAATACTACTAATAGTAAATGTTGAATCAGGTTAAATATATATATTTAAAAATAATATAAATATGATTTCCTCATTGCATAGAACTCAAAAGATTCTTATCAACAAAGATATATATATGTAGGAATAAATAGATACATATACATCTATGACATATAATATGTAGACACAGAT